CTGGTTAACCCACTGATACAACATTAGACGGTTGAAAGGGTCTAAATTATGTACGTACTTCTTACTTTATCTTAATAACATTAATCCCATCCCATCCCAAGAATGGGAGCTAAAAAATCAAATCGGGGCAGTCTGCTAAAAAAGGACCCGGGAACGCCTAGTGGCTGACCAATTTCTAGCTAGTACCTACCTAGGCTCCGCCAACGCCCGGCACAGCGCGAACGGTAGACCCCAAGGTATAAGGTTCGTACCCCAACAGTACAGTTTATATAAGGAAAGTACATATGAGATACATGAAATTAGGTACTTACGATTGTTCAATGTTCTTTATCGATTTCTAAGAGGGTCGTTTACGGCGGGGTTCCTTTCTCGTGTACGAATTCAATAGGTGCAAAAGGTACGAGAGGTGAGGTAATTCACCATTTTCGAATAAATGGTGGTTTTGTCGTCAGGGTCCATGGACCAGATCTACGGTACTGTACTGTACGTGGCAACGTTAGGTACACCGGCATTCGTGTTGTTTTTCATGTGTGTCCACGTACTCTCTATTAAATTGTACATACCATAAACCACACACCAGACACCAGACAGCATACACCCGACAACATACATACAGCATACACTTATACCATACGTGCGCTACCCTTAGGGTAGTTGTCGCTTAAATTTCAGCTCTCGAGAATCACCAGTAATATCTGCCAGTAATGTCAATATCGATACTACCGGTACCGAAATCAGCCGACTATCACAAGTTCCTGATGTGATTCGGTGTGCCCTCTTGGAGAAGCCGGCGAGGTTCGGGTGCTAGTTTGACCTCGAAATAAGTCCTCCTCTCTCTATCTCTCTCTCCCTTCTCCGGCCTTGATTATTCTTACCCTGAAGGGTCTGAAAGGGGGGGAACTGTGCTATTGTGCTATTGTGATTTGATACCGTACCAGCCCGTTGTTGTGCCTAACCCAGCGGAATGCCTGATGGGGAAGGCGATCGTACCTAGGTCTGGCTAGCCGGCTATGTACGTCGAGCGAGATCTATGTCGCAATTCTGAAACTAGCCGCGATGAGAGAGTACCTGTCAACGCCGACTTTTGGCGGGAAACGGGGGAAAGGGGGGGATTAAAGTATTACAAAGGCATGATGAATTCGAATTGCAGGAAACACGGCACACGAGCAGTCGGGAATATCTCCCAATTCCAAATACCAAATACCAAATACCATTCAACTAAAGAAAGGGGACAGGCCAATTGCGGCGAAATTCAGAAAAAGGTGGAAAAGGTGGGAAAGGGTGGAGAATATCTCTACTAAGACCTTGTCAACGAATATTCGCCGGAGCGGGCAAGATCTGAGACCCAGAGACCTTGTTGATCTAGTGTATACACTATATCTTCGTACGAGACCATATAGCATCATCATACAGCACCAGCGCCAGTACCGGTACCATATTACGCCTGTTGCATTCTTAAAACAAGTTTCCCAGGTTTCATATGCGACATATGCAACGCCCGCAACGTCCGCAGAGCGCAAAACAAGCAAAAACAAGCAAGGCGGTAGAATCCGGGAGGATCTCCTTATTGACGATTCGATGACATGACACCCGACCCAAATAATATTACATATGTAGGTATACTAATGTGGGTATACTACCTACCTAGGTATGCTGGGTATGTAAGAGCCCAGAAGAGCCTACTATTGCCATGTGTTACTATCATTGGCTTCATCGACTTCATTCGGCTTCCTATATTACCTAAGATGGCACCTAAGACGGACAGATCATGGCTATGCTATGTATGCCCTAGACGTTTTTAAGGTGGCTGGTTCTTCTAGAAGTCTCGAAGTTGCGGTGTCAAGACTATTCCTATATGTATATCAAGTGATATAAGCCCAAGATGTAGTCTGTATGTACATGTAATCCATTACATACATGTACACACGGCAATCCTTCAACCTCTTTACCGCGGCACAAAGAGGTACTTAGACTACCTAACCTCCTATTTACATACATATCCCATTTACATACGTACATTGATGTGGAGACCGTCTGATAGGATATCCATGATTCCTTTTTAAATGGCGGCGGCGTCTAACCACCAGCCCTAATGCGGAACGCAGCGTTTGTCATTAATAAACCCCTGTGTACCGCTTTTCTCGCAGGACGCTTGCGTTGCCGCCAACCACAATGAAACAAACTTATCCTGAGCTATCTTAAACTAGAATTTGGCTATCTTAAACTAGAACTTGACGGCTTATCATTTAGCATCCTTCTCACAAGCTTGGAATAGCATCATGTTACAGCTTCGGGCCCTTAATCTCTTTTTGCTAATCTCCTTCCGTAGATTGGCCGTGGCTAATCCAGCACGTAAGCGGCATAACTTGTTGCTGTTATTATGTAGTTCAGCTACGCATAACACACTACTAGGTTAGACTATTGTCATCTCCAAGTGCAATTATTGCAACACTTGACTCGGGTTAAAGACAAGACTATGCTCAAAAATTCTATCTGTACTTTTATATAGGTGGCGACGAAACATGCATGGTGGTGTTTTAGGGATTATGTCAACTGTTGATGCGTTGGGAAAGGGATGCATCACGTCGACGCTGACTGACCGAAGAGGCTGCTGCAGTGCTAGGCATAATCTACTTACCTGTTACCAAAAAGCACCCATGTGTGTAGTGTATTTCCGCGCCCCTGTAACGTAGGACGGGGACGACAAAAAAGTTGTGTTTCCCAAGCATCGTCACCGACCCAGCACGGCCTATGTCAAGTGCTATTCCCAGGTACCCAACGCATGGCGTTCACATATGCCCGTGTCTCAAAAGGACATTTTAGAGTACCGATGGATGCAGCCGAGCTGTCACGCATGCGCAAGCCACTTGATCGTAATCGTGGGACTAGATGCGGGAGAAGCGGGATGGGGATCGGGGGAGGTGGTGTGAACCTGCGAGTCATGATTCAATTTTTTCTTTTCTTTTCTCAGAACCATCGCCGCTTTCTATCCATATCCGGGGTTTCATTATGGGATGGGTAGTAATCTAAAGTACACACTTCTCCCGTGGGTAACTATGTGGTATTGCACATAACCAGCCAAGCTAGCTAGATCGTAAGACCTCCCTTCTCTACCTTGTCCAGCAACGCAAGAGTGATGATATAATTAAGCAGTCGAAGCTTAGCAAATCCAAGAGCTCGGATGCCAAGGCGTTGAGCTACCCCATTTACGGATATCCGAATTTATCAACATTTCCCTTTTCTTCAAACCCGTACATCCATCCTTTTAGGCTCTCGGGGCCACGCGATACTCGCATGCCTTAGGGCTATACCTTACATACATAACCTAGGCGGTTATACCTTACATAGTACATGAAAAACCCTGAGCCGGGATCGCTAACCTCATAGCGCGCCGCGAGTCCCACCATCCCAATCCGAGCCGACGGATCGATGCCACCAACCCGCGCGGCCCCATTCGCAAATATCTTCCGTCACTCCGGGGGGCGAAGGAGAAAGAAAAAGAAAAATCCTACTTACCCCAGAGGGCGCCGATATGAATTAGCAGCAGTAAGCACCCTTTAATGCTACCTGGTTTTCTCTCTGTTTAAAGCCTTTCGGAAATTATCAGGCAGAATAGGGAGAGGGAGAGGATGAAAACGGGACCCTTGTCGCCATGTGGTAGCCGACCACCTCCAAGACCAACGGACGGCGCAGTCCCGTTTTCTAGTTCTAGAGCAGAGACGGGGAGATCGGGTATCGAGTACCATCTCCGCCAAAAGCTTGTCACCCAAGGTAAGGTTCAAGTTGGAGATATAATAAACGTACCCCTACCACGGTATCTACCGCGTATATATAGATGGACATGTAAAGATTAGAATGAAACCAAGATGGGAAGTCTAGAATTTTACTTATATCCATACATGAACACGTCCATGTCCATAGGCTTATCTAGTTTGCGATCGCCACCCATGTCTCGATATCCTTCTTCTTGAAGATTACCTCAGACGTGCCCGTCTCTCATCTTCATATGTACGCTATATCAGAGCCAGAACCCTAGGTATTTCCTATGCCGTCGAACACGTAATCATTTCTTAGGCAATCCCAATCCACGTCAACTGCCTAAAGCTATATCTTGAATACTTGAAAGCTACCTGCTAGAGTAGGTAGGTAGGTAAGGTAACATGTATCACGCACGCACAACCGATACCCCACAGATGTATCGAGGGTAGCATCCTCTTCCAGAAATGCGATTGCTCCAAATACTTAGATAACACGTGTGGCAATCGATTATACGATAAATATAGCAAGGCTAGCACCCAGCGCTTAGCATATACGCATCGAATGGAGTATGTAAATTAGTGGGATGAAAATAAACCTATGCATATTATCACACCCAGGGGTAACGCCAGTACGAGAATCTGACCATATCGGTCATGTTATAGCAACTCTAACCCAACCACCTGCCTAGGTAAGTTACTCAAATATCGAGACCTAGAACGCTTGAGCCTAAGGCTTCAGTAACAATAGCGCTGACCGGCGTAGGATGCTCATAATAGAAAAGAGTACCTAGTTCTAATTTACTAGTCGGCGATCTTGAGAATAAGGAGGTGTATCTCAACCTTTTACTAAGTCATTAGAAATAAGTATGACAATACGCGTCTCTTACGAGTCACGACAGATTGTGGAACTATATAAGGCTCGAGAACCAGGGTAGCAATATCGATCTTACACCGTGGTAGTACCCTAGTGTACCTAGGGATCATACCTTCATCAAGGGGATACAGAAGACATTTCCAACGTACCGTGGCTTCTACTCTGAACTAGAATTATGGTAATCATGGCTTTTTCGCATTTATAAGGTACCTAAACTTAGGAGTATTTCTAGATGAGCCTACTCGATATCAACACTTGAACCCAGCGCAAAGACGATACCATGGAAACCTAAACGCTCATCGATTGAAAATGTGAAAGTATCTATCTAGCTATGTCCTCGAGGTATCAGTCTCTTCGTTGGAGAACCCTCGTTATCAGCAAATAGCACTAGTATCCATATATATCGCATCAACTCAGAGTGAATGTGACGCCTAATGGTAAGCAGTCATGGCCTATTGACTGCCATGCTGCCAGAAGAACAGAAGAATCGTAACTCGATTCCCCTCCTATAGTAACGAGCTTATCGACTCCCCGTCCAAATCAAGTAGTTAGACCTAGACGCAATCCTCGAGCCGTCTCATCCCATGTCCACCTCTTACTCTCAATATCGGAGTAGTGCTAGACGAACCAAGCGCGCAAGTTCCAAGGCCATATTCGCAAACGACGAGCTTCCAGATCTCGGTATATAGTCTTGTTGTAACTTCGTATCCCCTCCCTGGCATCATTCATCCGAAAGGGAAAGGCCATTCCAATCACGTTCAGGTGGTTCGGCGTCGCTTCCTGCGCGTACCGTCCTGTTCGTCAGACTCATCACTATCCGGCTCATACGCTGCGTCGTCATCCAGCTTGCGCTTGAGACCACTACCGCGACCACGTCCTCGGCCACGGCCACGGCCACGACCACGACCACGACCGCGCTTCGATGAACGGACTGAGCTTGACGGGGAGCCCGGGGCCGGCGTAGAATAGAGACCAGTACTTGAGACGAGACTAACACCACGTTGGTGGGGGTCCTGGGGACTAGCAATATTGGAAGCAGTGTCGTTTGCAATATCCTTCTTAGCCTTAGAGACTAGCTTGATGCGGATGGGGCGAATGGGGCGACTGGGAGGGGCAGGAGGTTCCTCGGCCTCATCATCACCATCCTCCTCCTCCTCCTCATCGTCATTGCCGTCGTCTTCTTCTTCTTCTTCTTCGACGTTGCCGCCGTAGATTCCAAAAGTAGCAGCCAAGGCATCGTAAGCGCCACCATGTTGCTCCTTCCACAGCTCTCTCTTTCGTCGAATCGCAACTTCCATTCTCTCGCGCTGGTATCGCATATGCATCACATAGTCAAGAGCTGCCTGGTCGGGAATGCCCTCATCGCCAATCTGAGGTACGCTCATCTCCCTCCAATGCTCATCATCCTCGGGCTCATAGTAGGGGTCATCATTGTCCCAGTCAAGTTCGTGAGCTGTAGCTCTGAACCAGGTTTCGTAGTCGCCGTCTTCTTCTTCGCCGCGATAGTAGGGGTGACGCCAGACGTTGTTGACTACGTGGTTGGAGGGCCACATGGCATCCATTCCAGCATTTATGGTCTTCTTGCGCTGCTCGGGGTCCTCAATAGAATCCAGGTATTTGTCAGCATCGAACGGGCCGCTGTTGCTCTCAGCCATGTTGGTAAGTTCGCCGTTGACTTGAACTTCCTCGTCGATGGAGCTGATAGATTCCTCGCGGAATCTTTCGTTGGATTCTTGAGGGGATTCTTGGTAAGAATCTTCGTCGGCAACAGTAGAACTTGCCTGGTCTTGTTCAGCGATGGTGGCTAGTGGGTGCTTTCCAAGGTTGGCGAGGACACGCTCTTGATTGAGGTTAGAGATAACTAGTGCGCTATCGTAGTAGTCGCGCTTTGTCGGTAGGTCAATGGTAATAGGTTGCTCGAGAGTGTTCACGAGTTGCTTAAGCTGTCGTCGTTGAAGAATTGATAGGTGAGAGTTGAAATTGGGATAGGTGCATTGTCGAGGGAGGTTAGGATCGTAATGTCCGGGAGGGATAATTTCTAGGTTATAAAGGGGGACAGTGCCCCTCGTAACAACTCGTTGCTGCCCGGCTGCAGGAGCAGCCGCCTGCTGAGGCCCGGGGGAAGCTGGAATGGGCACAGCGTTTGCATTGGCGTCCATACTTTGAATATAAGTTAGTGTTTGCTAAGAGTGAATGTATAAGACATATTACATATTAATAAGCAGGGAAAGGAAAGACATATTAAAAAAAAAAGACTTTCCAATAAGTAGGGAAAGGAAAATCTCAATGCTACTTACTAGTAATTGGCCAGGTTATGGTTCGGCCACCGGTCAGTCCACGGCGAAGCCGGTTCTTCCGGTGGCGTTCTGGCCGGCGAGGACGGTGTATTGTTAGACCATCCTGTGGTTATCGACGCCGAGCTTAGCCCAGATAGTTGGACCCTCATCTTGAAACAGTTAGTTGACAGGTACGTTTCGAAAAGTTAGAGGGTAGTAGGTTGTGAATATATAGAGTGTAGTTTTAATTTGATGATTCGGCATACAGTATTTGATTTTGGGTTTTAAAATAACCGTGACAATTATTTTGTAGTGTGTAGACAAAATTTGAAGTGCGGAGGTGAGTAAGGGGGGGTGGACGTTGAAGTTGCATATGATGAAGTACTTGACTCACCTTGTAGTTAGGTAGTTTTCTTTTCTCTAGGAAGAGTACTTGTGGTTGTAGTTTCTTGAGCTGATTTAGGGATTGGAACAAGAAAAGAACTCGAGAGGAAACTTGAGAGGAAGAAAAGAAGAAAAGAAGAAGAAAAAAAAATCGAGTCTTGTGTTGTAAAAATTCCCGTACTTTCCTTGGACTTGGGCGGTAAGAAGAGGGGGGGCAGATTGTGGAATTATCACGGTGCTTATCGGTTCTGAACTGAGGGTTTAAGGTACCTACCTTAGGTATTAAAGATATTAAAACCTCAGGTATGCAGGTATCTTGCCCTAGATGCCCTGTAGACACCTGATCAAAATGCCAATTAAAAGTTTGCTCCCCAAAAGATGTGCATAAGCGGTGATCTTGAATTTTGGTACCAGCTCGGGTTTGTGGCCTCTTTATTCTCGACTTTCGTTTAATATCGTAGCATGATATCCGACGAACAAACAATGTGACATTGTTGGCGGGTAATGTCCCTTATTACAAAGCTCAAAGAAAGGACTACGACACTGTTCAGCAAATTACCTATATGCCTCTTGAATTTTATTATGACTTCTCGGACAATGACCTTATATTTTAGCCACTTGTGGGCGTTCTTAAATACACCCCTTTTGTATTGCATATCGTATTGTAGTGTAGTTCTAGAATAGGGGAGAAGTTAAGGGATAGAAGAGAATACATTGACTGCTTTATACAAAGAACACCTAGCGGCGTAAGAAAAAGGATAAAGTGTACTGATATGTCTGAAAATATAGTAAATATGTTTCTGTTACTGTAGTAGCTACAAAACTGTATATAATGTATACACCTGTTGTGGTGAAGGAGTTCTTATCCGTATGAGCTAAGTAGTTGGTTGTATGTCTATTTGCCCAGTCACGAAGTTTATGTCCTTTGTTTCTATATGGCTTAGCTGGTTCAGAATGGGGCTCTTTTATACCTAACTTACACCAAGACATTGTCACGCTCTAGCAAGCTATGTCATTATTATGTGGCAGACTTAACAGGAATCATAGACAACAGTTTCGAATATCTTTCGAAGCGGTCTGTTAATCTACGGGCATGCCGAAAATAAAAGGAGCTTGGGGTAGGGACAGAATGATATAGATAGAAAGACAATATATTTCCTAGGGTTGATAGTATAAAATTCCGGTGTAGAAATCCTTAGAAACTAGGTGCCAGTTTATGCTACAAGCCCGCCAGACTTAACTAGAGGAGCCCGTAAGTTCAGCAACGAGTTTCAGTAGTTGGGCCTCCGTCTCTGCCGTAACACCCTTTGGGTAGTAATGAGACTGCGGATGTTGACGGGGTAAGAGAGGATCTTCGTAGTCTCCTGCAGAGGGTTATACCCCACGGTTAGTAGAAATCCTAAACATACCTAGCTGAGGATACAAACACTTACTCATGTTGAACTTCTGGTCAGCAAGTCTAGCTCGCGCAAGATCTAGCTCTTCCCTAGACCGTTTGTCGTTCCAGGTACCCACCCTGACTTCGGAGGAGTCCGGAGTGAAGGCGGCATCGCTAAAGGAGTGCGTGGGTGTGTGAAGCTGGCCCGGTACCCGCGAGGTAAGCGGGCGAGATGAGCTGGGAGTGTTGCTCTGCATGGCTCCTGAGTATATTCTAGCTTGCGTAAGCAATGTAATAAAAAGGGTTGACTTCATATCGCTTCAAGTTAGTTATGATACCCTATCGGCTTCCAGAGTAGCAGTTGACTTACTGGGATTTAGGTGAGATATCTATGCCGCTATAAATAGGCGAGCTTATGATATTCCGAGAAACATAAAAAGATAATTTAAATAAAACAAAACAAGGTAGAAAAGAAGAAAGGAAAAGCAATATAAGCCTTGTTGTATTGAGCAAGTTATTCAGTATGTATAATATATTTGTTGCCTATCACTGTATGTTTTCAATGTTGACTCATGTCTGTTGAGTTGTTGTTGGTATGGTTTGGGTACAATCGTAGTTGGAGCTGAGGGCGGCAATAGCCGGCCCCACTCTATGACCACTACTGTGATTGGCTTTATTTCTTGTAACTCAGGTTTATCATGCACTGTAACACAAGACGTACATGTACCTAGGTACCTTACGCAGTAGGTCAGCTAGACCGCCCCAAATTAGGTAAGCCCCAAAGCTCCAAAAGCTCCACGTCAAACGCAAGGGGGTTTATGGGTTATGGGGTATGTACCTACTAAGCTCTATGTACATGTGTTAGGTACTTCTTCCCTTCCCTAACCCAATAACTCCGTTCGCGAAAAGCGAAAAATCTCCCCTCCCGCTCAATCGTCAGAGCCGTTCGTTGTATTCCCAAGACCTAATATGATTACAGTCTTATAAATGCGATTGCAAATAGAGGCAGAAGATTGGAGATAATCGATCATTCTTAGATTAATACATTAACTAAGTAGATTTACGCGAGTGCCCCGCGTTCCAATACATCTAGCTAGCTACCATGGCAAAAAGGACGGCCAAGGTCCCAAATGCCTGGGAAGACGAGGACTGGGAGGCTCAAGCAGACAAGGCCATCACGACCGAAGAAGAATCGAAGTCTCAACCGCAACCGCAGCCGCAATTGAGTAAAGCCGAGCGTCTGGCGCAGCATGCCGAGTCCAACAAGAAGCTCTGGGAATCAGCGTATGTCCCTATTCTCCCCTCCCGTAATTCCAGATAGACTAACACACACACTCACAGCGAGGCGCCTCCCGAGGCATTCCACTACCTCGCCGCGCGTTCAGACCCGCCTCTCGCGACAGGTTTCAAGTCCGCCGTCAAAGTCTTAAGCCGGAAGCCCGTCTCAGACCCTAACGCGGGCGACGGCGACGACGACGAAGACAGCAAGAAGGCCCCGCAGCTCACGCCCGAGGAGATCCTAGCCAAGCAGCAGCGGGAGCGCGAGGAGAGGCAACGGCGCTACGACGAGGCGCGCGCCAAGATATTCGGTACTAATAGTGCCGCCGTAGGAGGTTCGAACCCGTCGTCAGGCACCACGACGCCTGGCGCTGTGACGCCCCCGCGGTCGGCGGAAGGGCGGGGCCCGCGGGGCAAGGGAAGAGGTGGAAGAGGGGGTGGGGGAGGACACCGGCATAATGAGAGCCGAGGAGAGAGGGATAGGGACAGGGATAGTAACATCCAACGACCTAGTAGCCAGTCGGGCGGGGGACGGGAGCTCTACGACCCGAATTACTCACCCAAGCCCGGGGTTCAACTTGAGCGGAGGGGGAACAGCAACAACAGCGATGGTGGAGCACCCTTGTCCCGGCGCTCCACGCCGCGGGAAGAAGATCAAGTCATCCGTGCACCACGGGGTCCGGATGGGAGTGGAAGGGGAGGGTTCGGGTTCGCCAAGCGTGGCGCCAAGGGCAGTTGATATGATTACTCGGGTTCTTCTATATGCCGATCTACGATAATAATGCTACCAGCCGCCACCGATCTTGCCAGCTAACTGGACGACCCTTTCCGTGTTGCCCGCCGCTTTGTCCTTGCCCACGTCGCTCACCACCTCACGATAGCTCGTGTATACCAACCTATCGACATCTATGCCTGTTATGCTTGCCCAATGCGCCAGGGTATCTCGAATGTATGATGGAGAAATGCTGCCGACCATGTCACCTCGCACCTGATCTCCATTTTCTACGGCCAAGTTCACATCCTCGGCCTCCAGATCGAAGTCGGAGTCTTCAGCCGAAAAGTATGCTTCGTCGACTTGTGCTAACCACTGCTTCTGTTCCTGAGGCCCAGGTTTCGTCTCCAGGCCTCTCCTCTCAATTACTACCGGATCATCGACTTTGATCTGACCGCCGCCATTTGTGCAGCCCCCGGGACATGCCATGACTTCGACGTAGGCGTATTCCAGCCCAGCCGGCTTACCTGCAGGTCTCCGAGACCCGGGAACTTTTGCGCCCGGCATTCGCGACAGCTTCGGCGGCTTCAACCTCCTGACTAGATTTTGGATATTCCGGAAACCGTAATATCTCGCAGCTTTGAATATCGGCTCCCCGGTTGGCGAGGTCACGGTATACTCCACAACATCGGCGTTCCGGCCGCGTACGGTCTCGATTTTCGACCCAGGGTGTCGTGCGGAGACGTATTTTAGTGTGTAATAGAGATTGCCCCCTGAGGTTCCCGCCAGCGGGTCCGCCTGGCCCGCTCGGAGCCGCGGAGGGAAGAGAAAGCGCCCTAGGGTGGGATCAGGAAAGGGAGTTTGTAATAAGGCGGAAACAGGGGTTTTGGATAATCCGAAGAAATCAATGCTCCTCGATTCTGTTAGCATCAAGATCTCCTTGCTCGTGATAACACAATCTACATCCCTCACGCCCCTACCGGGCTGCCCATTGCCATTCCACACAGCGTCCGTAAGCTCCTCGCGGCTTGCCTCCAGCTTCTTGTCGAAGCACGGCATGACAGCTAGGTGCCATATCCGGTCGGGAGAGATTCCTAGTGTCCGACTTAACGTGGTCTTTAGAAGTGTACCCATAAGCGCTTGCGGCGACTTCACTTTCGAGATGTATGGTAAGACATGTGGATGCGTCTTCTCGGCGTAGCATACCCATCCAGGACAACTCGACGTCAAAATGGGTTTTGCGACTTTGCCCTTGTCGCTTAGCGCCTCCTCCGCGCCCAGTACTAGACATGCCTCTCTTGCTGTATTTGTGTCGACGACCCACGTAAACCCATTATTCCACTGGCCGCCCGCGCGTAGTCCTTCAGACCCCATCAACAACTGTGATATCATGCGCCCGGCATCCCGCTCGCTTACGTCTCGCCCCGCGACCGCAGCGAGGCTCGCGCGCGTCTGTGGCGACACGCTTGCTACGAAGAGCTTGCTATCTGGGTTCTCCAGGCCTTCAACTCCGAACCCGTCATCGCGCCGTATTATCCGCAACCCCGGCGCGCCGTCTAGCACGCTCAGCAGCTCCGAGTGGCTCTGCAGGCTGACGAGCACGGCTTCGGCGGAGGTCACGCAGCCGGAACAGGCCAGGCAGTCGGTCAGCGAGATCTGGGCGGGGCCTGCTGTGTTCGCGCCGGCGCTCTGTTGGCCGTCGAGGATGACTTCGTGGTCGAGGTCGCTGGGGGCGGGTTGTGCGGAGGCGGCAGGGAGGGTCTCGACGGGTTTGATACAGGCTACGCCTGGGGAGATGAAGTCGTTTAGATCGTCGGCTGAGAGAATTGCTGACATTGTGTACAGCAATGTTGGAGAGTGTGAGGAAGGGAGAGGGGAGGAGAGGAGCCGAGGCGTGGGGGACAAGTCCCCTGATTTACTTATATGGCTCCGTCGTTGGTTGGCTGGTTTGGAATATTGAATAGGTGCCTAGGAATTGCGTATAAGTCAAAACGAGTGATACAGGCGGTTAGAGGTTATAGTCAAGAATTTCCCTATTCAAGGTATAATTACGTCGACGTATGAATATAACACAAGATAGTTTCCTCTTTAGGGGGATGTGAAGTCTGGAGTCAACTGAAAGGCAAATTCTTGGAGTTTTGTAATGATTGTCGCATGGGAGTTGTAAGTACTAAGGTTGCTTTGAAATGCGGTTTATCGAATTTTTGTCATGCGAAATCGGCTCCCTAGCATTGGACGGGTGGCGGCACCCCGCTATCATGTACATATGTAAGCCCCCGTTTCCGCGGGGTTACCCTTATTTATACTTACCGTATAAATACTAAGAATCTACTGTACAATACGCTAATAACATGATTGGTGAAAGTGACGTTGCCTTCTGGACATGTTAGATACTTCCCGCATTGTTAGCTGAAAAACAGCTATTCACCTGTTAACACGATAACTTAATAGCTGTAAAAATACTTATATAAACACATTTACGTACCAAGGTAGTATAATATAATAGATGTCATAAACAGTTTACTACTTTACAAATATAAGAGATTCCTTTAAAAGAATTAGGCGGCTGTTTTTATTGTTGAGGTCGAACTGAAGGGGAAATATAACAAAGAGCAATCATTGAAGTCTAACCTAGTATGTTCGTCTATGAGACCTCTGGTTTTATACACGCACGATGAAGCCATCTGTTAGACTCTACCTTGACTTCGCTAAAATTCCTACATTTCCAAGTTTCATAATCCTCTGATAACTAGCATATATTGAACAGGTAGTTACTAAGATACTGCGGCTTAAATATCTTAGCACGCTGAATTTCTACAATTAGACATCCACTGTGGTGATAAAGATAATGTTGGATCTGGATTGAGTGTGGACATAATAAAATCTTAAACTTCACAAATTGCCATAGTACCTATAGGTATTCCTACCAACATGCAAATGGTATTGTTACGGAAGAAAATCCTATTTGGGAAAAGGCAAGGAGCCTATGTTCCGTGCCTATGTCATAAAACCAAAAGCTGGCCGAGTATCATCAGATAAACTGATATCGAAACTTGGATTTGCCCATGAACTGAAGGAAAACAAGAATAAAAATAGAATGAACGCGTCTGCTACAGAAGCATTGATAATCTATCTCATCGCACTGAGATCTGTAAAGAGACCAATCACCCTATCGAGTTTTATTCATTCTTGGTGCCGAAGTGTACCGTCGAGGTAGCAGTTTGCATGCGCAATATTATTCGACACTTCATCTCAAAGCACACTCCCTCGAGTGCAGCCGATCTGCCATCTCATTTCGTCGGGGGCGTCGTTATCATATCGGCTTAGACAGGGGCCACCTTAACACATCTCGAAACAGCATTCGCAGCAGTCGGCACAGCACTCGCATCCTTCCTCACAGACGAAACAGCAGCACAGCGCTGCCAGACAGCCTTGGAGACAGCCACCGCCGCCACCCTGCTTCCTTTCTTGAGGGGGTTGTTGCTGGTACTGCATCTGGGGTTGACCCTGAGGAGGGCCATAGTACTGGCCTTGAGGAGGACCATACGCCTATGATTTGATTGAGTTAGCTTCTAGCCTGTGGATTTCTATAAC